AATTCTAAAGAATAAAATAAATCTAGCAGCGATAGAATTTAATAAGTTTGGGCAAGACCGGGTAAACTCGAAATCATTGGGAGATGTCATTGTCCTGCAGAGGACTCAAATGCTCGAGGTCACGCCACCCCAGTCGGTTCTTTGAGCTTCCCCACTAGGGCGATTTGGACACAACGCGACACGGGGAAAGGCACGTCTTAGTAACACTTGGCGCCTTTATAACTAGTATACATAAATTCACAATGGCTCGTTACTTAGCCTACACGTGCTTCCACATGTCTGCCACGGCTATTGTGAACATTGACGTGATTGGTCTTCCTTGAAGAAAAGAAACATTTCGCAGGTGTGTTTCACTGTTCGTTTAAGTTTCGTCACCTCTCAAAGACATACCACAGTTTTTGAAGGAAGCGATGAGAAGAACTGCAACTGCTGCAACGACAACAGTGAAGGGCAAGCCGAATAGCACTTCCACAAAAACAAGAAGCAAGAAAACAACAGTTAATAGCAATAAAATAGCTTAGTTTTGATAACATTGAAGCTTGAGTCAAGTTTGTAAAGCATTCTCTCGATGATTCGTGTGGAAGTGACGCGCAAGGGCAGGAGGTACGAAGCGCACAACTGTACCCAAATGTTTACCGAGCGTGAACTTTTTTGCAAATGCGAATTTTTGCTCTGTTAGTGTTCGGTGTTTTTAACCTAGCAGGTACTTGTGTACGTCGCAAGAACTACTCCAGGCTGGAACATCTATTTGGAGGCTGTGAATATGTCCGTCTGTCTGTCCGCATGTCCGTCTGTCTGTATGTCTGCCTGTCCTTTCGTCCATATATCTAGTGAACACTAAGTACCGCCATCTGGCATATTTTTATCATATATTCATCATATACAAGTACCGCAATCCAGTGGACATTCTAAGGACTAAAACGAGAGGTGGTTACTACATACAAGAGACGCACGAACCACGCCCTAAGGAGCTTCGCCTATAAAACAGCGTGAAGTAAACACAGACAAGAATTCACACAAGGTCACTTTTGTGTAAATTCTTGTCCGTGTCTACTTCGCGCTGCCTTTAATTATGAATATATACCAACTTGATCGCATTCTCTGTATTTTTCTTTTTGAAATTGGATGGTAGAATTAGCAGAGGCAGGAATAGATAAACAAGACATAAATCCTGAACTTCATGAGAAATGATGACAATAATGTGTTCTGTGTTAGCACAAGTGGCCAGCGATAAGAAACGAATTTTTGTCGTCTCTGTGAACCGATGAAAGTGGCGCATTAGTGCCATCATTACCGCGCACAACATTCGATCGAATCACAAACAAGTGCTTGCTCTACTGCACTGCATAATCGATCCGTCTACATATTGCTTATGCGTGCAGCAAATTCGCATCATCTATCTGCCTCTGTCTATGCACTTGGGGGTGCCACACTGATCATTAAACGCCTGCCAGATGTTGCCATTTTTCATTGTGTGTCAGAAGACACCAATATCAACCGTGGATCGAACGTACGATGCATCCACCGTCGCTATGCATAGAATTTTGGCCCTATACAGAACACTGAAGGGGCCACGTACACAAGAGGCTGACAAGGATAGATTGATAGATAGATGATAGATAGATAGATAGATAGATAGATAGATAGATAGATAGATAGATAGATAGATAGATAGATAGATAGATAGATAGATAGTAGATAGATAGATAGATAGATAGATAGATAGATAGATAGATAGATAGATAGAGAGATAGAGAGATAGATAGATAGATAGATAGATAGATAGATAGATAGATAGATAGATAGATAGATAGATAGATAGATAGATAGATAGATAGATAGATAGATAGATAGATAGATAGATAGATAGATAGATAGATAGATAGATAGATAGATAGATAGATAGATAGATAGATAGATAGATAGATAGATAGATAGATAGATAGATAGATAGATAGATAGATAGATAGATAGATAGATAGATAGATAGAGATAGATAGTAGATCGCTGTCCTGGCATATATATATATATATATGCCAGGACAGCGAGCGACGACATAAGAGAGATAGAAAAGATGAAACACGGTCACAAGAGTCCGAGGACGGGGCACCACTTGAGAGAGCTCTTGTCGGTGACAGGAGATGGCGTATTGCTGATCCAGTTGGCCAGAGCTGCGCTGTCGTCGTCGTAGGCAACCGGCGGCAGGAGGTGGCGTAGGACCAACCCAGCCGGTCAGAGATGCGCTGTCGTCGGAGATCACGAGGGCACAACCGGGTCAGCACGGAATCCAGCGAGCGAGCTTCGCGCGGCACCACGTTGGAAACTGTGCGTGTTTAACCGAAGATCCGCGCTCGCTCAGGGCGCTTTCGTCGCATCTATTTCATAAGGCGAAGCGCGTTTCCACTGATAACACACGCCAGCACAAACGACGCACTCTTTGTGGCCGTTTTGATTTTTGGCCGTCTAGAGTTTTTTTTTTTTTTTTTTTTTTTTTACGCGCCTGTTGGCATTATATCTTCATATAATTTAATGCCTTAAAAACAGCCACAAAACATGCATCGTTGATGAAGGCACGTTGTATCAGTCAAAACGTGCTTTAACTTACGAAATAGATGTGACGAAAGCGTCCTGAGGGAGCGTAGAACTTCGGCTACACAAGCACACTTTCCACCATTGTCACCCGTGCAGAGCCTGCCTGCATGTCTGTAAGGCCGCGCATGTTCCTCTGCACGTGACGTCACAACCCATAACGGCCACGAGGTCTCGCGCAGCAGAGAAAGGCCGGCACAGACATGGCCGTGAATGTACATCACAAAACATTGCTTGCATCGTTATTGCGATGCTTTTCCACCACACCACACGGCTATTGCTGCACTTCTACATGATGTGATTTTAGCATACCGCCATGTCACTTTTTTTAATATCGTGCTGAGTGCATATAGTCATACTGTGTGTTAGTATTGTGTTGATATTGTTGCGTTATATTGCGTTGTGAGAACATTCATTCTATTGTACTTAGCATCTTCAGCTTTCAGAGAACGCTTCTTTAAGATTACATCGCTGTACTTCATCTCTTGCCAGATCCCGTCTTGAAGGCTTGTAAAGTCACTGTTATTTGAATAATATTAGTATTTATTATTATTTATTCATTATTTTAAAGTAATAATATATAACAAGCTCTTTTCAGCCTCTGCCTTCAGAAGTTGACTTGGAGCGAATCAGTGAAGGCATATTAGCGGCAAAAAGGCATGAATCACTGCAGCACAGGAACCATCTGCATTCGATGTATACGAAGTTATTGAAGGAGAGGAAGAAGATTTACTTGTTTGTGCGTTGTTCAGCCGAATGCTTAGCGGTAGTAGAAAGGGAATTCAAAAAGGTGAAAATAAATTGCATATTCTATAACGTTCGCTCAATGGCTCACATAACATTCATTGACAGGTTATCTGTGAACATCAACATACGGCAAACAATAGCGCAAGAACAATAAATATATGACAACACTAAACGTATTGCCATGTCAGATATTTTATTTATGTTTTGATAAAAAACCGTTCAGTTTGATTATTGAGATAATGAAAGTGTTTGATCGTTACTGGTTGAAGGAAGATGTGGACAGCGTCTGCGACAGGGGAGCCAAGATGTTTGATAATCGAAATTTTCTGTACGAAAGCATGGCTTAGCTCATTACTCCTCCACATAGTTCTGCCGTATAGAATAAAAAACCCTCGCCTTCAGCTCGTTCACCGATGTGTTTTCCCATTTTAGGCGAGCAGTTGATCATTTCCGCAATCGAACTGTGTTTTCATCAACTTGTGCAGTGCTGGACAATACGACAATCTGTATATATGGTTAACTTGTTTTGTGCATTGCTTATTTCCTGTCTTTTTTTTAATGTGCCAGATGTGCGGTACTATTTCATCTACTGCTTATTTCAATTTTTAGGCTACTTAGGTGAACAGGCTATTGTTCAGTGCTTGATGTCGTTATAAGTATTAGGTAATGTCAACTCTGCGCAACCTTTTTATCAGCTTTGCTCAGAATCGACAAAATGTTCAATATAAAATAAAATCTCTATATATGATTTTCTTGTCCTAGTTTTCCCTCGATGCCCACACACTTTGTTTTAGTGCTGCTTCAGATTTATTTATTTGATTACTTTTTATTTAGAATACTGTGAGGCCGCACGGGCTGTTACAAGCATAGAGATTCCTGAAATTAACTAGAGGTAACTCTGGCGCTGCAATCGTTCAGCGACCATGAAAATTAGGGGTATATGACATGAATTTGCCAACTCTTCGTTCTTGCGGGCGGCGAGCGCACTTGTGGATATGTTTTTTTTTTTTTTTGCTGGGTTTTGGTTTTGTTTCGAATGAAAGAACAAACCGTTTCGAACTTCGTGATTTGATTTGAAATGTTGATCCTAAAAGGTGAAGTTGGTGAAGCGTAAGTGCCGAATATTTGGCGATTGTTGTTTCGGGACAAAGCAGCTTCAAGCCCCGCGAAACCAGAATGAACGTAAAATGCGAAGTCTAGGCAAATCCATGTACTGCCCATGATTCCCATGCTCGCTGAAGCGCCATGCGTTGCAGCTCCCATAGACACTAGCGCCAGAAATTCCTCTAGTGTATATTTCAAAACTCGGTGGTTACAAGGCGGGATTTGCGCATAGAATGCATGAAAATCTCTCACGGTTAAATACAATACACCCCACGAAGAAAATAAACGCACAATCAATAGTAATTAAAACTCATAGAACTTCAGATTTTGTTTAAGAGAAGCCAAGCTGTGGATGTCCCTCACTTGCGCACTAAGATTGTTCCTATTTTACAAACAAAAAGTTGATAGTTATGCACATCAAATCATGCATTATAGGTCAAAAATGCATGACAGTGATTGATGCGACGAGAATTTCTTGTTGGTGGCAGCTGGTATAAAGGACAAGCGGAGCGAAGTAATGTAATGTCGCTGCAAACTTGACTTACTTCTCGCAGATCTCTGCGATGGGTGCCGGCCGGAGCACACACTCCGACGGCTCTCCGGCACAGAGTCCGACGCGACTGCTCGACGGCTTCCCCGAGACGCGTCACATCGATGAACATGGTTTCCACAGCGCCCTGCTGTCTCCGAACCGCGAGTTTCCTACCATTTCGTCACCCCCACCGCGAACCGACGTCGACGATCGACTACCCTCTCCTCCACCAGCGTCATCACGAGTGCCTGTCGTGATCCGTATGACGTCGTCATCCGGCGAGCGCCGTCACTCGATGCGAGCCGACAGCCCGATGCCGAAACTGCAGGTGGAAGCGAGGAGACTCAGTGATCCGCGTGACGACCAGGCACACGTGGGCAAACACCAGCAGAGCGACCTGGAAAGCCAGATCAGGGAGATCGAGCAGATGACGGACGGCATCCTGGAAGACATCGAAGCCGAGAATCTGGGCAGCTTCAGCACGGGTCACGATCCGTCGACGACTACGAAGGCAAAGCGAGGCCCGCATCAAGATTCCAACTGCCCGTTAGACACTGGCAAGTCGGCCGCTCCACTGAGGGGCTCCTTCGAACGCAGCCTCTTCAGCGACACGACCAAGTTTTCGGGACTCGGCAGGCCACAACTGCCACCGACACGGTCGCTGGAGCGTGGAGGCCGCAGGTAACTTGGGGATGCTTCGAGAGATCTTTCTTACTCATCTTTTTACCCCAAAAGTGTTTTATGCCGGGGTCCACAACGGCTCCGCTCACGTATTTCCGTCACGGATATGACGTTGTAAAATATACACTAACAAATTGCAAAAAAAAAATCACAGCACAACCACGGAATGAACTATGATGAGTAGGGTGGAGTGTCCGTCTGTCCCTTCATTCATCCATCTGTCTGTCCGTCTGTTCGTCTTTCTGTCTGTCTGTGTACCCATGCGTTCGTCTGTGCATCGTCCGTCCATCTTTCCGTCAGTCCGTACGCTTCTCCATTTGTGGGTCTGTCTGTCTGTCTGTCTGTCTGTCTGTCTGTCTGTCTGTCTGTCTGTCTGTCTGTCTGTCTGTCTGTCTGTCTGTCTGTCTGTCTGTCTGTCTGTCTGTCTGTCTGTCTGTCTGTCTGTCTGTCTGTCTGTCTGTCTGTCTGTCTGTCTGTGCTTCGTTCGTGCCCCACCAACGATGCGCCACGTACGGCGACGATCCAGGAGACTGGAAGAGGCACTCCTTCCTAGCGCACCCAGGCACAACCCGTGCAGCAGCCAATCAGAGAGTAGCGGTACAGCGCCATCTAGAATATCGTCACTCAACCGCAGTTTTTACGCACTTCTATGGAATAGCACCGTCTATTATACTGCTCGGGAGATATGGCCCTTCCTTTTTTTTCTCGTCTTTTCTTCTCTCTGTTACGCCTGACGCAGGACAAGGTTAGACCAAGAGAAGCTTCGCATCTAAAAAAGAGAAGAAATAGTACCGCAGTGGATCATCGAACGAGCGGCCTCACGCTCTTCAACGCGTGACGCTCACAACAACGCCACAAAACAGACCTTCTCGAACTTGATAACGGCGAGGCATTTATATACACATTACACCGTTTGACAGTCCTGTTAGCCCTCTAACTTCAGTGGGTTTTCGTCATCCGTAGCGAGATGGCGCGACGGGCTGGCGTTGCATTTAGCGTTGTGCGCGCTCTAAAGGCCGTTGCTTCTCACGTTTCGGTAAGCGCCGCCTTTACGGAGCGTGGTTTCTCCTGCGCGCGCGCTTATCAGAATCGTGATTCGGTAGAGCACAAAGGTCACTTGGATTGCTGCCGGACCGCGTTTACAAAAGAAGCACGATGCTCACACATGAAGAAGTAACAACTGTCACAGTTGTTCGTGCTCGTCATTTGTATTATGTTAATTTATCTGGTGCGTCTTTTTTGTTTGTTTGTTTGACGAGCGTGCTATAAAGGGGCCTTGAAACACTTTTTCAAGCAACCATAGAATTAATTCACTGAAAGAGCTTATTGCCTCATGAATTCAACACCACAAAAATTTTAAGAATCTGTCCAGTGCGAGTGGAGTTGCAAAGATTTGTCGCATGCTGCAATTGCATTCTTTGTTCTCTCGTCCATACGAAAACGCTGGAAGCTAAGCAGGGAGGGATGGCAGGAGCAAAGAGAATGCGTCACGCACTCCTTGTGACCTTGACCACTTTTGTTTCTTTTTTTTTTCGAATGCATGGCTTTTTCAGTGTGACCGCACGTGCACACGTGAAAAAGTCACCACCTCCCGCGGCGATCTCTGTAACAACCAAGCGCGCCATGAGAAAGCTAGCCAATGGCTGATAGATGGGCTTTTTAGGAGTCAATTTGGAGCGTCTACTGTCATTTATCCAGAAAATAGAAAGAAATTTTCAGCTGGCTTTGATAATTTACTGCGAATTCCAGGCCTCATGCAGAGCTATATTATTTGGCTGGCGTCTTGTCGGGAGTAGTTACCGAGCGGCAACAGTTTCTGACCATTCTAAAAAGTATTGCAGTGCCCTATTAAGTGTCGAACTTTGACATTTGTTTGTCCGCGCTCATCCTGTGCATTCGCATTTCGTGCCTGCTTTCTGCTTGAGGTGCGCGCTGCAAGTTTCGTGCTGCTCGTCGCTCTTCGCTAGTGGGACTGCAATTTGCTGCTGTATAGCATTCATTCCTTCGCTCTTGTGGTGAAACTATGCACAATGAACGCTCAACTATCTCTGCGAGGACACGTTTTACTCTCAAACCACGTTTTTTTTCTCTATCTCATTCATTTCTATTATTCCCCCTTCCCCCATCCAGGGTGTAGGGCAGCCAAACGAGCCAAGCTTGGTTAACTTCCCTGCCTTTTCTCTTCATTTCTCTCTCTCTCTTGTTTCTCTCTTTTCGAGAGGGATTCTACATAACGCCCACGTTATTACAATTCTGATTATGTGCTATACTACAGCTTCAACATACAACTGATATCTCCTATACCTTCCTCACTTTCACTGTCTGTCAGTTTCGTAAGGTTTTGTCCAACAAAACAAAAATGAGCCCTCGATCAACCTTCCCTCCTTTGTAGAAGAACTGAGAGGTGCGTTTCTTTGCATGACACGCAGGGCTTCAGTGCCATGGGAGGCCGCCGTAGCAGGCTTTCGAAGTGGTGGTCATCGGTACAAGCCTCACAGCCGCAGCCCGGCATCTGAGGTCAGGTCGCAGTCACAGCCGGCCGCGGGCCTCGCCGTGACCGAACGTCATGGCGCCCACACGAGGACGATGTTCGGAGCGGAGACGACGTACAGTCCATTTCTCCTTCACGAGCCAAGAAACACCATGCAGGTGCCGGTATGCCTTAGAGAGAATGATTGCCGCATTGCTTCTGAAAGCGTAAGTTGAAGGCCAACTACGATACACACAAGACAATAAGAAGCTGCTGAATAGATAATATCTCTTTATTAATGAGAAACACTTGTATGGCTCATGCACAAAAAGATCCTGCGTTCATCCGATTAACAACAAAAGAAACGTACCAAACCACATTTTGCGCCTACCCGCATCACTTGGCTGGTAATTGACGTTACAGATTGATATGAATAAATTGTAAATAGCAATTTACAGTTAATTAATCTAGCGATCGTATGCCGAGTTAGTAGAAGGTATCATAAAATGCACTAGGTCAGACAAATATTACCAAAGATGCACTAAGTGAATCATGTGTTTGCGTTAACTAAAGGTGTGTCAAACGTGAGTTTACAGTGATTTAGGGTGAATTATATAGCAATCAGACCTAACGAACTAAGATAAAATGAAACATGACAGCAAAGACTTTCACCCGTGCTGTTTTGTAGCTTTAGCTGAACGGAGCATCAGCTTTACTGTTCGAGAAAGGTGAGGTGGTACTGTGGCTACACACAGGCAGTAATTAAAGGAAGGCCCCGCCGCGGTGGTCAAGTGGCTAAGGTACTCGGCTGCTGACCCGCAGGTCGCGGGATCGAATCCCGGCTGCGGCGGCTGCATTTCCGATGGAGGCGGAAATGTTGTAGGCCCGTGTGCTCAGATTTGGGTGCACGTTAAAGAACACCAGGTGGTCGGCATTTCCGGAGTCCTCCACTACGGCGTCTCTCATAATCATATGGTTGGTACGTTAAACCCCACAAATCAATCAATTACAGGAGGCTTGTTCTGAATGCATTCGTTTTAATTTGAGGTTATGCAGACAAAGTAACACTGATGCAAGCATTCTCGTGTGCATGAATATGGTAAGCATCGATAATCTCACAAGGGCTTTGCTCTCGGTACATTTCCAAAAAGTGCACTGCTCAAGAATCGGCTAACAGTCACATGCTTTGCAGGACTGAGCTGAGATTAATGGCAATGCGCAGATGCATTCGAGTACACGCATTCTCGTAGCCGGTCGTTCACGCGTCGGCTGGTTTGGCAGATGCTTGAACGACCGTTTTCACCGTGCCGTGTCCAGCGCTGTTCGTTCATGTCTTGATCATTCACCAACCAGCCCCATTTAGGATAGACAGATATGTGGAGTTTAACGTCCCAAAACCACCATATAATTATGAGAGGCGCCGTATAGTGGAGGGCTCCGGAAATTTCGACTACCTGAGGTTCTTTAACGTGCTCCCAAATCTGAGCACACGGGCCTACAACATTCCCGCCTCCATCGGAATCGCAGCCGCCAAGCCGGGATTCGATTCCGCGACCTGCGGGTCAGCAGCCGAGTACCTTAGCCAGTAGACCACCGTAGCGGGGCAGCCTCATAAGGCACGCTCCTGCAATACTTTAGAATTTGTATTATTGCTGTATTGACACGTGGCATCGCAGTTCTGTCGCATTGCTTCCATGCATACAAGGCAATGATAGGCTAAAGGCATGGCGGGCGAGAATCGTTAGTTGCGGTGAGTAACGGGGTACATGCAAAAGTTGGAATGTCGCATAGATGTACAGAGGGAAAAAGTAGGCTTCGCCGTAAGGACGTGGTGTAAGAATGAATTGAGTGTTATAGCAACTATAATTGGCATGCTATGCGAAGAAGCCTTTCTAAGCGGCCGAATAGGCGTGTCTCAAGAAAGCGCAGGCGTATAGAGAAATGAGTTCACTGCAGCGAGTGAAGCGAGATTCATGTCATCTATATCAAATCGACGCAAAGTGAGGGGTGAGAACACTGTACGTACAAAAATATAAGCAGTTTGCTGATTCCTGCCAAGATAGATCGCGCATGTCCACTGTTTCGGCATGGTAAGAGCCATGCCGCTTTCCTTCCGGGGCCCCCCATGATGTCTTTTGCGAGACGGAAGACGTTCACAGTATTTCCTCTCCACTGGAGTGGCTATCGTTGACTGCCCTTGCACGCCTTCATTCTCTTATGGAGGGTACGATGGGCCAGCTACTTCTATCACTTCTGAACTTTATACGGTACCTAACCTTGACGCCGACGGGGAAAATACGCCAGGGGTGTTTGTATAACTGATATCGCAATACAATCAGGTGGATTCATTCGCAAGGTCTTTACTCTCTGGCAGAACGCAAATCGCTGAAAATGGGTTCTCGCTTCTTTTGTAGGAATGAGATGCGATACGTAAATGAACGACGCAAGGGGATTCTAGTGATGTCCAAAATACAGTCTGCTTCTATCGCACTGATGTCAACGCAAGTATTGAAGCATGCAATTAATGAATCAGTACCGAGAGTTAACAGAAAGTATTAGCAACTGAAAAATCTGTCCGGCTTCCGCGAAATTTTACGAAACCGAGAGGCATACTTTCCTGCATTTACGTTTCATATTATTACTCATTTCAGAATAATGAACAAAGCTATGACTTCAGTAAATTCCATCGAGCCAACCAGCGCGAGAAAGTAAGCACATCAAAGGCACATTTCTTATGTTTTGTCTACGGTGAATGATGACGACTTTTTTAAATTTTTTTTTATTTTCACTTGCACTCCAGAAAGGACATTCTTTATTTGGAGGTGAGTATGATTACTTTTCTAATTGTAGACATCTGCTGAGGTTTTTCTCCATTGCGCGCAAATCACTAATAGCAAATAATAGCTGCCCACGTACATCAAGCTGTAGGCGCGCCGTATTACGAGACTCAGCATAGGCGGGGGCAGAGTTTTGTTTCACAAGGGCGAAGGTTCGTCGCAGTGTCTCCTTTCTTTTTGGTCAATGTATGAAGGAGCCTTCGCCCCCCTTTTTAAGGAGGGGGGGGGGGGGAGATGCCCTCCTCCTGTGCAAGCATATGTTACTCAGCATTATTGTCATCCATTTGGGATTCTTTAAGTGCACCTCAATCGAAGCACACAGATGTTATTTGCGTTTCGCCCCCATAAAAATACGGCAGCCCCTATGGAAATCAAAACGACGCCCTAGAATTTACTGGCGCGACACCTTACATATGTGTGAGCTACCACGTCAGCTGTAAGAAAAAAGTGCAGTTACCCATGAGTCATTACTAAAGCTTTGTATATTGTGCGACTAGTGCTTTCGTGGCTGGTGTGGACCACCTGAACTGTTCAGCAGTTGCGGGTATACGGGAACAGACCTTCTAGTATGTCACAGTTTAGTGACCTCTTTAGTGGATCTACTGAAATACCTCAGCCACAGGCTTGTCGCAAATACTAACACTTTTAGCAACGTTCTGTATATTAAATGATTAGGCCGCGTCGAAGAGAGATGTTTCCAGTCCGCACTGGGGTGAAATAACTGGCTCAAATCCAGCAATACCTCAAGAATATGGCATCATCTATCCAAAGGCCGCACACTTCTCATTAGAGACCACATTATTAGGTGCTGAAAATCAATCATTACCCTCACTTGTCTCCTGAATCTGCAGGTCCTTTACATATATTTTATTATTTTTGTTTGCTTAGGTCACCAGCCTGACCCTGTCAGTCTCGCTGCGGATAAACAACGCAGTTCCAATACGACAGAAGACCTGCAAGATAGGTAGTAACACTTACTTCATTTCGCTGGATAGTATAGTACACTAAATCCCTAGAATTACTTCTCGAGGATGCTCAGCTGGGTGCTTGTCACTGGCCCGTTTCGGGATCAATCTTCGATGGTGTGACCGTCAACTACATCAAGCTTACTTCTAACAGGAGCAGCAGCAACGACAACATAAGAAATGAATATTTCAATAACTGGTTAAAGTTTAATTTTAAAAACAAGGTCAATCACCTATCCTGAACACCAATCTTTGATGAAGTTTAACAGTCACGTTTAATCGACCCGGTAAGTGTAGCCATACGCGTGCACAGGGGTCCTCATCTGGAGAGGAGAGGAGGTGCGAAGATTCGTCACAGCGTCCCCCTTCTAAAGTCAATGTACGGGCCAAGTGTGAACAGCGCGGTTGAACGCGGACGGAGAACACGTGCGCGCACGCGAGTTTTTAGTTTATGTTTAGTCGCGCTGTTCAAGCTTAGCGTGAAAAACTAACTAGCTCCCCAACGCACTTTAACCCCTATATGATGCAGACTTGGCCCACCCCTGTCGGGTTACTACACGGGGGCGGGGGCACCCCTGCCTATGCGCCCGCCCACAAGTGCAGCCGTATCAGGGGTATATATGACGCAATGTAAGCAGTACGTGTAAGTGTGCTATCAGAACACGACACAGTACTACACTCTAGTTGGCACAAGAGAGTATTGCGATATATAGTTTCATTATAAATACAAATTGATTTATTTCGCCTATTCATTTCTGGATTTATTGGTTCCCCACCTCATTTACTGGCATGGTTTAGTCTAATTGTTTCTGCGCATAAGAACAGCTAAGCGAAATTAGTCGGGAATAGCCAGTATTACAGGACATTACCTGTGGTATTATTGTTGCACGTATCGCTGCGCTTTTTCATAGTGTCGAGAGATTCCTGTGGTCCCCTTTTTTTGTGAAAGTGTTGCTTTCTTTTTTTTTTCTAGAGCAAACCACTTCTCACCGAGTGAAGAAGGTGGTCCCGTTGAGTACGACGTATCCGAAAAACTCATTCTGGAAGACATCGAAAAGGAATACTCGGTCACGTAGCACTTACGAAGGTTTTATATTAATACATATATTTTGCCTTGGACGTTTCTGTGTGCTTGTCATGTGCTCTGGCGTTCTCTGACCTGCTTCATTGAGTCCCTTCTGCTGCGTAAGCGACTTTGTGTACTGCGTAAGCGACAGCCAACGTACTGCTCTCCTCTCTCTCTCTCTCTCTCTCTCTCTCTCTCTCTCTCTCTCTCTATATATATATATATATATATATATATATATATATATATATATATATATATATATATATATATATATATATATATATATATATATATAATATAGTACACATTGCTGCCAGTGTAAACAGCTTGCCTCCGCTGCTTCGCATTAGCACATGGTTCCTTTTAGGGGGGATGGTGTAATTTTTACGTGGCCGAGAACTATGTCCGACAAGCCGTGCAATTAAATACAGCCCAGTTAATTCTCTTGTAAGCGCGAACTGTTGTAATAACATTACGGAATGCTGCCGACTCACTTTCCCTAAATATATGTGGGTGGAAATGTTGCCATCCGTGCTGCAAATAAACATTAACTTCTGTTCAAGTCAACGGACGAGGCCGACGAGAGAAGGGGTGGTGATGAGTGAAACAAGCAGAAAGGGGCTGCTGCTAGTTTTTGAAAGGTGATCGACCTTTGCTTTCGAAAACACTACGGTGGCGTTCGCATATTTTGGGGCCCCTAAAACAGTGCGAGAAGACAACTACCGGGGATTTCGAGGCTTCCTTTCATGCCTTTCCGAACGCGAAGAATTCAAGAAGCGTGCGCATTCTCGCTCCAACGAAAGGACTGTTTTTCTGTTTTTAAGAGCCCTTGAATTTTCAAGATCTCATGCTCCCTAAAACACGGCATTAATGATCACTAACAGACAATGATGCGCCAAGGAAATTATACGGGATGTTATCAGTCGTAATTGTAGTGTGAATGTCAAGAGGAAATGTAGACAAAAGGATAACTTGGCGCTGGCGGGGACCGTATTTGCAATATTCTGATTACGCACCCGAAGGTTCTATGGTCTTTTCCGATGGAGGCGGAAATGTTGTAGGCCCGTGTGCTCAGATTTGGGTGCACGTTAAAGAACCCCAGGTGGTCTAAATTTCCGGAGCCCTCCACTACGGCGTCTCTCATAATCATATAGTGGTTTTGGGACGTTAAACCCCACATATCAATCAAGGTTCTATGGTCAGGGGAGGGGGTGGGGTGTGTGTGTGTTCGCACTTGAATTACTTTTTTGAAATGTCCTAGAAAACACCTTGTTATCCTGATTTTTAGCCATTGCAACTCCTTATTCCCATAGTGGTATGCATTCTGAATAAGCTTAACGTTTTGTAACAACTCAGGAACAACAGAGCGTAACGAATATGCCGGACCGTATTTATGTTTTTTTTTTCTTCCTTAAATTTTGTTTTTATCCTTAGTCAAGTAGAAAAGAGTAGCCGTCGCGAAAAAAGTGGCAACACTTTAATTTATTTTTCTTGATTTTAATGAAAAAAAATGTAGTACGTTGGTGTTTTCCTTTGTTGTTCTCTCACTGTTACTATAAATATTATGTGCTGAGCAACAGGTCCGGTGCTACGCTCGTTCAGAACAACTGTTTATTACGCCACATGAAGTATTTCGGCATTTTTCGAGATGTCTTCTTAACAGTTTCCCACCCACCCTGTCCTGCGCGAGCTCACTGTTTCTGTTAGTTTCGTCAGATCATCTAGCAGGGGCAGCTGAGCGAATTGGATGAATTGCATATTTGAAGGAAGTTCGAAAAAGCCGCAAGACAGAGAAACAAGGTGGTTCGGATGATACAGATGATTAAAAATTGAAGCAACTGCAGAATTAGTGTGCATATATGTGACTAAAAAAAACGCCAGACACGTTTAATCCATCAAGTCAAATGACATCCAGGCCTTCCTCGTCACAGCTATAGACAACGCCGCCGAAGGACAGCTGAAGCACGAAACACGCATGCACACTCATTATACAGGTCACTTCAACTATTTCTCGAGACTTCTGATCTCACCGCTCGCTTGACCCCTGACTGTCGCCGTGCTCGCTTCCCAACTCTTTCGGTTATCCAATCCGGTGTTCTAAGCGACCATCTGCGTTTGTCATAATGTGGTCGGCCCATGTCATTTCAATATCACTTTGACACGGGAACTTTTGATTGCGATCAGGGGCAATACGGATCGGACTTCTTCAACGCGATTAACAAGCGAGTGATTGTTATAGCGTGCAGCATAACCCGGATTGAGCTAGTCACACAACGCCGGCCAAATCACGAACGCCAATTCAAACGCGATCATCCTGATGGAGTCTGAGAGTGATTGAATGTCACCGTGAAGGGGCTATTCATGTAGATCGAGCCTAATCCTGATCGGTGCTGATCGCGATCACCAGTGTGGCACCGGTATAACAATGAAGCTGCTTAAGCCGGCCGTAAAAGCTTTGGTGTGCACAAAAAACTGTCATCATCATGAACGCGTATGTGCCACCGTAACTGGGAAAATTGCACACCGCTGATCCACTGAAACTGAAGGCAACGAACAGGCGGCAAACACCGATCGAGGTTTATTGACACATAACTAACAATGGAAAAAGTTGGAAAAAAAATGGCAGCATACCTATGGAGTGAATGATGGAGAGTGGGGTGAAGCATTCGTTCGTCCATTCGTTCTTGCTTCCGTCCGTCCATGCGTCTATCTGTGTGACCGTTCATGCGTCCATCCGTCCGTCCGTGCGTGCGTCTGTTCGTGCGTCCGTTCATGCGTCCATTCATGCATCTGTCTATGTGTCCGTTCGTCCATCTATTCAACACTCCAAGTACCACCATCTCGCATCTTTTCATCATATATTCCCCATATAGAAGCACCGCCATCCAGCGGACATTCCAAGGACTAAACTAGAAATGGCACATGCACACTATCTTACGGCTTGCGCTTTGGGTCTACTTCCCACCTTTAACCACCTCGAGTTCGTGGTATATACTAGTTCACTGTATTCATGGCACTGCGGCCCAACGCTCGCTAAACCTTTCTAAAACCAAGGAGGTTACGCCCAGCAAGTATAAAGTAGCAACCTTTTCCTGTCAGATAGTGCTCAATGTACATGCCGATGGCGGCTAATGGGAAATGAGAGACAGGAGAATTCGGCTTTTACTTTCTTACGGCTTGCGCTTCGTATCTACTTCCCACATTTAACCACCTCGAGTTCATTCATGGTATTCATGGCACTGCGGCTCAACGCTCGCTAAACCTTTCTAAAAATCAGGAGGTTACACCCAGCGAGTATAACGTAGCAACCCTTTCTTGTCAGATAGGGCTTAATGTACATGCCAATAGCTGCTAATGGGGATTGCAGCGTGCGCGTTAACTAAAAGCCGAATGCTTCTGTCTCTCATTCCCTCTTAGGAGCGATTGGCATGTACATTGAGCACTATCTTCTATTGTTCAACAATGCACAGAAGAAATCTCTCACCAACCTCACCTTGGAGGTCAAACTGTTATCTTTGTTACACACTTGGATGAACGGGTGCTGCTATACAAAGATGCACCCCTAAAAACACTAATATTAAGCGCAGCCGCGTGTTTCTGCTTCACTGAAGTGACTGTACGGAATGCGTAAGTGGTTCGTACAACGTGAGAATACTACTGGGAAAGGGGAAGGCAACAGCGGCTGCGACCCCGAGGTGATGGAAGGGCTGCGCGAATAATGCGTGCCCGCAAATATATGCCAACACTCTGCTTCAGCGTGATTTTTAGTCCTTGGAATTTGGAAATCGTTTTTTGAACCTCTCTGCGCTGAGAATCATCAACCTCATATTTTCTATAGGGTACCGGCTACCCCTGCTTCTCCGGTCAAGTCCTGGGAAAGGCCTTCGCCTTCAGAGGGCTTAAGACAGGCTAACGATGACGGCTATGCCTTGCTCAATGAAGAATGCGAAAGCCATTGCACAAGTTTATCCAAAGGCAATAATGCCAGTCAGCGGGTGCCCAAAACACCGATTCACTCAGTGGTGAAGGCACGTTCATTTCGGAGCTCACATATTGCAGAATAATATACTACGGTTTAACGTCCTAAAACCATGATATGATTATAGAAACGTCCAAGTGGAGAAAACGTTGTAAAGTTTGACTGTCTGGTGTTCTTTACTGTGCACTGGCGTCGCACAGTACGCGTGCCTCAACTACTTCGCCTCCATCAAAATGCGATATTCACGGCCGGTATCGAACCCACGACCTTCGGCCCTGCGGGTCCGCAACCGAGCACTTTATCCACTGTTCCGCCGAGCCGCACCACATATTGCACAAGATGCTCCTGTAAGACATGAATGGGTCAGCTTTTCCGTGGCTTTTGTTTTCGCAGACTTATCTGGAGTGCGGTGCACTTCCTTGTACTGCGCTCCTTGCCTGGGTGAGTTGTAGACGAATAATTAGGCTAGTTGCACTTGCATAATTGATGAAGATAAATTAGCGCAAGCAATAAAATGACACGCCACACAAGCGTCTGTATTGCACTGCTCGTTTTGTTATTCGCGCTGATATTAAGTGAGTGCTGTGCCACTTCACATTGCACCAGCATTACATGGAAGGTCACATTTACATTTGGTGCAATTTGCCTTTTTTCCACAGTGATTCGTGTTAAATCTGTTGTGCTGCAGCTAGCAAGCCGCGAAGTCATGAGAGGGCACCGTGCAGCGGCTAAACACAACGGAGGGCAACTATTGCAAAGCGGTGCGCGATGCGTGGGATCTGTGTTTCCAAAAGCAGCCCGCTCCCTTCCCCTCGGCTTTCCGGTGGTGAGCGTCTGCAAGTATGCGATGCGCGCCGGTTCAAGGACAGCAAAGAAGCGAGCCTAAAAAATACACAAGTACGTTGGCTCACGGACGATAAGATATTTCGAGAAATGAATAGCACGTCACTCCATTAAAAGTACTACGCAGCAGGCATTTGCTTGTGTCCGGTATTGACCCAAATCAGTTTTTTGTTCGACCTGCTAAATATTAAGAGGGAAACCTCGGGTGCCTCACGAAACGCAAAATGT